TGAATTTGCAAATGCACAGTGTTCAGCAGCTTTACAAACCAACAGAAATGTTTGCAAACAGCTTCAATACACACACAGCCGTAAGTGGCCATTATTTAAGATCATAATTAGACAGAGAGGAGGCAAAGAAGGTGACTGGTCTGCAAACAACTTCGCCTAGGAGAAGACCAACATTTCTACGCTTGTCTGTATTTATATAAATCTGTCCATGTGGTGCCTGAATAAGTGTAACTGTAGGACATGAAACTAAAGAAATACCTACTCACTCAGGGGTATCACTCAATGTATTAAATTTAAGTGATATTTGCTTCCAGGCAGATAGATACACTCTCAGCAGTTTCCAGTTATCAAGTCTCTCTTAGACACTTCACAAGCGGCTTTCAATGCATTACCTTGACTCCTGCATTCACCCATTTCTGGAATTGGATATGCAGAGCTGAAGGACAAACCTTTCTGCTGCATCGGTTTAGCCTCAGGCACATGCTCGAGATTAAACATCCATGTCACTGTGACAGCCCAGCGATCTGCTTCACTGTCCGTTAACACTACCAACAGCTGCACTAGTACAAGGCCATGGTAAATAATTAGCACAATACTTTGTAATGACAAATACCAAGGGTATTTCTGATTCCTTGCACTATTATGCCATGACTTTTTGTGCATCTATATAAGAAAGAACGTTTAGCACATTTGCTTCAATAACTAAAGTCTGGTTGGCCTTGTTTTGGCATGCATCACCTCCACACAACCCTAGCAGTCGTTCCTCCAGATTACACAGAGCTGAATGCAGACAAACCCGTAGCACCAACATTGGCATCAGCCCATTACAAACCTTGTGGCTGAAAGCAAGCTTCCATTCCTCAGGACTCCTAACCTGGCCTTTACCTGTGCTTTACCAAGGAAAAAGAAAGAAAACTCCAAACTCAGCTTAAATGGAGAAGAAATAAAACTGACCTGTAAATACAGATTTAAGTCTCCAGCCTTTTTATTTATACAAGGATTCAAAGAACATATTTCAACTTTAGATAAACAGTGCAAGAGAGTTACAAGTACCTTGGTAACAGAAAGAAATAGATAACTGTCCAGCTATGCCAATAAGTGAAATAATTCTTACTCCTGCAGGTAAAAATGCATCTGTTTAAAGCAAAGGTGGACTTCAGATATTTTGCTATACCTTAGCCCCTATCAAGCCCACTGGAAAACAACAGGCAGTTTGTCATTTGTAAATGATAAGCAGCTGCGCTCTCAAAGCCTTTTGAGACCCTCGCCCTTAGTTAAAACATACACATTATGGCACAAAAGAGCAGGCTGAAAGACAGAGACACTTGGAAATCCAATATTTCTGGTTGTCCTCTTTTCAGGGACAGGGGTCCTTGTTAATATTTTTTCCTAGACCATCACCCCCCCTCTGCATCCCTGTGAAGTACAAGGCCTTTTCAAACCAGAACACCATGAATCACCATCTTGGTAACATTGAAGCAAACGTTCCTCCCCAGCCATCCCCATTCCCCAGAGCTCCCCATTCACGTAACCAACCCATGGTAGCTGCCAGCCCCTGCCATGGCTGCAGCCCTCAGCCCCCCACTGCCGCGGGGCTGGGGAGGTTTGTCACAACAGTTTTGAGCAGGCGGTAGCCCAGGAAACGTCATTTATAAGCACTGAAAGGCCCCAGGCTCTGTGTCAGCCTGAGCGCAGGCTCAGCGCTTGTCTGGACCTGGGCTGACTTCAGCTTGTTGAGCCATGCCAGCGCTTGTCTAGCTGTCAGGTAACTATGGTTTGCTTTAGGTTTGCTTTAGTTTAGAGCGATACCAAGTCAATTACCTGGGGGAACTCGGCTGTTTTGGCTTCCCAGTGGAAGGTGGCATGGCCGAGCGCTGCCCCGGCCACTGAATTGCAGCAGGTCGAGGAAACCACTTCAGGGCAACGAAGAGAACAGAAAAACTGAATAACCAGGAACTGACAAAAAGCAGCAGCGTAGGCGGATTGTGTGAAAAGGTACACAAAATAAACCCAAGCAGATCCAGGGCTGAGGAGGGAGGAAGCGTCAACCCCAACATCATGCGCCTCCTGGCAAAGAGGGGGAAGAGCCCCCGGCACTGCCCTCACCTGTCCGTGCAGACCTTGGGCTGCCGATGCTGGTCTGACCTGCAGCTCGGCTCCAGGAGGACTGAAGCAGTCGCCCTCGGGGCCCGGAGGGACACTGAAGTGGGAGCTGAACCCCAGCCAAAGAGGGAAGGCATCAGGAAGGGTTTCTCCCGCATAACAGTTTCTACTGTATCCTTGAGGCTTTGCCTTATTGATTTTGGACTATCAGGTTTTATTATTGTAACAAGACCAATAATTTGGGCTATTAAATTGTTAAAATATTAACTGGACAATCAGGAAATTCTTGGTTTCATGTTTAAGGTGTGCTCCCCTTGGAACCCATAAGAAGCTTGTGAGGGTAACAGGCTGACAGCAAACGCTAACTGCACAGAAATGGAAATGACAAGGACTTTCCTTTCAGTCTCCCATTCTGCAAAGCAAAACATTGACCTTGGCATCCACGTGTTAAAACTCCAATCCAACCCAACCATTTTTTGAAGAGGGTACAATGTTTTAATGCCCCCTCCCTCTTCTTTTTTTGCTTTGGATGTAAAGTTTCTGCAGGATTGGTTGTGGGGATTTCTGTAACTGAAGGCTAAATTTGTATTGGTGATTCTGGTTAAAAAAAAACCCAAACAAAAAAGATAGGAACTCTTTAGAGCAGTAAAAGTAATGTGGAACTTGCCATATTTCTAGGAGTAAATAAATCTGTATAAATCTGTGACTTGTATTTATAAACTCCTGGGTTCTAATGGTTCTAGTGGCATTGTCTGTCCTTTAGCCAACGTCCAGCATCCTGGCTTTCATTTCTGGAACCCTACCAGATTAGATCAGTTTTAACCTTACAAGGCGGTGAGTACAAGGCAGAAAGGATACCAAGTCAGTAACATTAGTCACTGTGACTTGGAGAAGCCAAGAAGTCAAAGCTGGCCTAAAATCTCTGCCTAGTTTGAGGTACCATCAGCGTCGTTACCTGGCCCCAGGTGGGACCCCAGGGAGGGCAGGCGATAAGCTCCCTCCGCACCCGCCTGCACCGGCTTTTGGCGTTACCTTGCTCATGTTCTCATCTGCCCTTGAACTGCACATTCTAGAAACTGCTAATTTTACAAATGGTTTTTTTTCTCCCTTTCTTAGTAAATAGCCAAACCCCAACCCCATAATGTTTGCTCAGCCCAAAGACATGTCTCCTCTGGCAGGACAGAGGAGAAAGGCTCAAACATTTGCTGTGCAGAACAGTAAAGTAGGAGATTAGATACACCTCTGCCCTCCCTCTCGCCTGCAGTGCAAACACATTTGAAACTCAAACCCAACCCCATATGAATGAAGCCCAACCCCTGGGCATGCTCTCGGCCCAACCAGTCACAGTGACTGTGTTGTACCTGTAACATCTGCTAAACCTACATCTCCAGCCGATGCTTGTCATACCTGTCAGGTACAGAAGCCTTCTGGAAGCCCTGAAGCACACAGCCCTACAAGCACAGACACTCCTGCAGCTACGTGAGGATATTTATATCTTTCACTGACGACTCCCAGCCTCATAACCCGGCATGGAGTCCACCCTACCAAGCATTTTGGGGTTTAGGGCAGCTGCCCGCGTGACCCAGAGGCTGGTGTGTGGTGGGACGGGGCGGCAGAGGGTGAGCCTGGCCCTTCCCTGAGCCAAAACGGAGCTGCTGGCATGTGTCTGACCCGCTGTCTTACCCTGTCCCTGCAGTGGTTAGGGAAGGTGCATGGGAGGATGGGGAAGGGACAGGGAAAGCGGGAATTCACTTGAAAACCTACAATGCAACAGCAACAAATGCCAAAAGAAAAAAAATATCCCAAACAAAACGTGTCCTGTCCTCACATGCCCCCCCAGGTAGGTGCTACCTTGAGTCAGTCTCCTGGGTAGGGACACTGCCCAGAGCTAATCACTACCAGCCCCTCTCTGCCCTAAGGCAGCTGCCTTGGGGGGTCACTCCGGCATGTGCCCAGTGTGAGCTCTCACAACCAGTTGCAATGCTCCAGTTAGTAAAAAGTCCCCGTTCTTTCTTTTTACCCAAAAAAAAAAAAAAAAAAAAAAGATTCCCATCCACGGCTGGGGCCAGAGGAGGAGGAGGCAGCACAACTGTCTGTCAGGTGGAGAATCCTACTGTGCATATTTTCATCTCTCTGTTACATATGACGGTACTGCACTGCAGGTAGAAATTGGACCATTAACACTTGGGTAAAAAATGGCTTTCCAACTAGCATGCAAAGAAAAAATACCCCCAAACCCCAACCCCTAACACTCATTCCCAATCACTTAGATGTAGGAGACCTACATTTCAAATTGTTGTCAGCTACGAGCTCTAGTCAAGAAACCCACTTGTGACCTTTCCAAAGAAAAAGGGAGTTCTGCGTTTTTGGGTCCAACAGCCACTGCCAAATTGTTTCAGTTCAACCCACCAAACCTGCTCACGCTCCTACGTACACCACTGAAAGTGAAGGGCCATCTCTGCCTGCCTAGGAAGTACAGAGGAAAAACCTGAAAGAGACCCTGAATGCAGCACTTGAGCAGCGCTGACCATCTCAGTCTCTCCGCGTTACGAAGTGGTGTTGCTCTTGGCGTCGTCTTGCTTTCAGCAGCTGTATGGTAAGCAGTGCTCTGGCCAGCGGCTGGGTAACTAGATCAGGGCAATTGCGTATTCCACGGGAGGCAGCAGAAGAGCTGCCCTTGGAGGGGCCAGCTGGGTTCCCCCTGGAGGCCTCTCTGCAAAGGCTTGTTTCAGCCTCAAGAGCCAGTTCGTGGCAATAACAAAAGTAAAACAATGAGGTACGGAAAGAAGGGCCCAGCATTGGGGAAAAGACCAAGAAAGAAGAAAACAGCTCGAGCACTGCCAGAAATAGCAAACAACTGAAACCTTTTTCTCCTCCCTCTTTTTTTTTTTTTTTTGTTGCCAAGGTGAATTAAATATGTCCTTTGGTTGGTTGGTTGGTTGATTTTGGCAAAGTGAAGCCCTCGGCTGCAGTCTCTTTCCTGGCTGTGCTAGTGAGTTACCGCCACAAGTGCTGCGTGGCAATGAAAGCCACCGAAAGGAGGAGGAGGAAGGCAGAAGGCAAAGATCTGCTGCTGGCCCCATTGATGCCATGTCCAGACTGCTTAGGAATAGCATGCGTTTCTGGCTGCCTGGTGCTGGGGCTCTTAGAAAGTCTTTTGCCACAGACGTCGTCAGGACAACTGTCACCACTTCCAGAGCCGCTCATGTCATCACCTGTGCAGAGACAAACATGGGGTGAGCCCTGACTGCCTTCCTTATGACCGGTGATGTCCCTGCCTTCCCCTTGCTGCAACACCAGGGAGCTCTGGCCACCAGCCCTGCCCTGGCCACCTCCTCCTTTCTGCATCCCCCACTATCGGATGCAAGTCCATACCTGATCTCCAGCTGACTTGAACCACCCACTGCTTCAGCAGCTGGAAACCTCTGGAGCAGACAGGAGCAGTGGCCCCGTCAGCAGGGCTGGACTGGGACTGCAGGGAGCACCCGAGGTTTCAGTAAGGTGCTGAGAGCAGCACATCCTCCAGCCACCCCACGGCAAGTCGTCTGCACTCGAACAGACCCTCTGCAGCCCTGAGCCAAAAGCCAGGTGGCCACAACCCCTCTCTGCTGTCAGGGCCCAGCTGCAGGGCCTGCATGGAGGCCCATGCAGGCTGCCAAGGGCTGACTGCTCAGCCCCTCTCGCCTGCTGTGGACCTCACCAGTTATGCTAAACTCACTTGCGTCTTGGAAATCCACATCATTCCCAATGTTAGCGTTGCCCAGCCGGTTTGTCATGATCTTTAGCTGCATGATTTGCTGGCGAATGGTCATATCTGGCTTGGTGATGTCCACCTCTACCTCCGGGTTGTTAATCTGATTAGCTAAGCCGTCCCCCATCACTTCAGGCAGGTAACTGTGAAGGAAGGTGACAGGTTTAGATGTCTCCCCCCCAGCTAAGCTCACCTCTCCCCGTTACAGACACCGGTGATAACCCAGCCTCTTTGAACCCCAGAGAAGCTGCAGTCAGTGGTGTTGGCTCCACATGCTGCTGTTTGCTGCGAGGTAGCCAGCTCTACGGATGGGAGAGCCACGCTGCCGTGGCCAGACCCCATCAGAGCCTGGGGCTCGCCCCGAGGCCACCTCAGCTTGCAGGAGGTGGTGGCCTTGCAGCATCACTGTCCCAGCATGGTGAGGGGTTTCCTGCAGGAAAGACTGTGCACGGGGCTGAGGGGTTGCTGCAGCTGGTACCTGTGGAGCCACAGTGACACTCCGCTACGGAAAAGCTCTGTCCATACGGGAAGCTGAGGAGCACCTTCATCCCTGCCCTGGTTAAACCCTGTGGGGACAGACACCCTGGGATGACTGAATGCCCTCAGCCCAGTATGAGCAGACAGGCCCCCAGGGAAGCTTCAGTTAACTGGGAGCTGTCCATCAGCAAACAGCACTGCGCAGTGCCCTGGCCCGTCTGCTCCTGCAGATCTGTGGCACTGCTGGCAAAGATGTGAAATATGGAAGAACGAAAGGCGCTGGCTCCAGGCTGGCAGAGACCAGCCCAGCAGGTCCATGGAGAGGAGCGGAGAAAGGTGCATGTCCAGCAGCTGCTCATCTCCCCTTACAGCCATCCTTTAAATGTCAGCCATCAGTGGGAGGTGTTTCTGCAGTTGTTTGATGTCACCTGGGTGCCTCCTCTCATGAGGGAACAGCATTTCAGAGCAGGTATGGATAGAAACACATGCATGCAATTCTCAGCAACAGCTCTGGAGTTTGTGAGGTAAATCCAGCCCTTCTGCCTTCTGAGTGTACAAGGAATTGCAAAACTGCTTTGCTAGTACAAAACTACATGGTTATTTCATGGCAACTGCATTTCAATGCTTAACCCTCCAACACACAGCAAAACAACAACAGGCTTGACATTCCCAGGTACCAGCATTCAGGCATTCAGGAAATGCAGCATTTCTGTGGACAGGGACAGGCCTTTTGGCTCAGTCTGAAAAAGTGGGGCTGGCTGAGGTGATGCATAAGTGCCTTTTATCAAACCCTCCCTCTCTCACCCCAGAATGTGCCAGGATAGCACCTTGACCCTCTCCATACCTGCCCTTGGTCATCCCGTTCCAACACTTGTCGTCTGCTGCTGAGCTGGCCATTACTTTTTTGCTGCATAGGCTGCTGGGCAGGGTGATCCAGTAAGTCTTGAGAGTTGTCAGGTTCCCTTTGGCATCTAAAACCTGTAAACAAAGAGGATGCTCAGGGCTAGGAAAGTTCTGGGGCACCCCAGGGCTGTGGAAAGGACAAGGATTCTGCCTATTTTTCTGTTGTTTTACCACCACAAAGTCTGTTTTTATGCAGACGGGGATGTGTCACCAACCTTCCCCTAAAGACCAACAGTCAACCCAAGCACCCAAGGCTGAAGGTTACATGCTAAGGACTGTGCTGGTATCATAAGATTAACCAGGAGAAGATCATCTTTTGGGCCATGAGGGCAATGCTGAGAAGCAGCCTTGGTGGAAGCCAGCAGGGCTCTGGCAGGGTGGTACAGGCAGGTGTCTGTGAATGAGGAGCCTCTGAAATGTGGGACTGTGGCAGATCCTGCAGCTCACCATCCACAGAATCCAAAATCTCCATAGAGGAGGACTTTTGGCCCCAGTATCCAGGCTGGATGGCCTGAGGCTGAATGACAGCAATGGCAAGGAGCCTGTTCAGATAAGTTTGGCACCAAATCCCTGAGAAATTGGTTATCAGCAACCTAGACCCCAACCTTGTGCCAAGGCAAGATCAGATCTGCTTAGGTCATGCCAGCACTCGCTGATCTGATCTTCAGAGTCACCAGCAAAGGCGATTCAGCCACCTGCGGGGTGGTCTGACCCGACCCACAGGACCCAGTGCTACGCAGGCTGGGCTCCCAGGGCTCCCAAGGGAGGCAGTGCACCAGCACACCAGCAGGGAGGGAGCTTAGGAGGCAAACTCACCAGCATCTCCAGTGCTTGCGCAGAAGATTTTGCTTCCAATGCAACCTTCCCCCTCCTTTTCTTGTCATCACTGCTGGAGCCTTTTGTGCTGATTTTGGGATTTCCACAGCCTTGGAAAACCTAAAAAATAAACCAAACTCTCTGTCTCATGTTTTGATACTATTTCTTTAATTAATTAGCTCTCCACAGTTATGTTTTTTTTTCTTCTTAGGTATGTTTATGTTTCCTACCTGCAAGATCTCTGAGATTCTGGCTTAGTTTCTGGTCAGGTTACTCTTGTGCCAGGATGTGTTTTCAGTAACACGGTAACATGTGTTATGGTAACTAGTTTTGACTACCTCTATCAAGCAAAATGTTCAGCACTAACCCAAAATTAGCACATGTTTTTGGACGAGTCACCAATGTTGGTATTAAATTATTTCTAGCAATTTTATCTGTTCCTATTATGATTGAAAAATAAAATTCTGGGAAGAACAAGATGGGAGTTGCTCACACTTATTACACCAGTGGTGTGGGCTTCAAGATTGCAGACCATGTGAGCTTCATTGATTTGGACAACAGATTAAGGTGGGACTACCCCAATGACTTACAATCGGCACCCACACTCAGCAAATGAATGCCTCCTCCAACCAGGGGAGTGCAAAGACAGTAGATGTGTCATATCTGTCAGGTTGGATGTTTCAGGGGCAAATGAGGAAGCAGAACTGATTTACCTCCTAACTTTGGGTACCTCCCATCATCCTAACTACCTGCCCAGGCGTGCTTTGTAGCCAAAGGAGAGCAGAAGCACTTTGAAGGTACAAATCCTCAGACTTTGCCTCTAGGAGGAAAGGAAGGGTGCCCTGGAAGCACCTGTTTCTCCCAGTCTCTGCATGATCAGTCCAGGCAATGACACCTCTGCTGCAGATAGCCAGTGCTCAGGCAACTGAGCCTTACTGCGGCAGGTGGAAGGAGTGCTCAGACAGCCAGATTTAATGAAGCATCAAAGGTCAGGAGGGCCTTTGCACTGTCAGTTTGATTCAGAAAATACCAGCCTTTACAAAGAAAGCCATCTGATTTGAAAACACGGCTCCAAGCTTGTTGTGGTTACCAGGGTGCTGTCAGAAGCTATCGATAAATTCAACTTTGCACAGTGTCCCCTTAAAGCAGAGGAATCAAGGCCTCAGACAGGAGCACTGCTGATGTAGCTTGTGCCAGCTGCTGAATGCTTTTGCTAGTGGATTCTGACAGCCATCAGCAAAGTCCCAATCTAGACAAGAATCCCTTTGGTGACAGTGGGTCTCATTGGTGTGTTTGAGGGACATTCAGCCTAGAAAGCCCCCTCCTGGGATGCACTGTCCTGCTGACCAGATGGATCCAACGACTATGGCAGTTCAGCACCAAGCCAATTTGTTCATCTGTCTCCTTTGCTTCATGCAAAAAGCCCCGCCTTGACAACTGCATGTAGAGCATTTTCAAGTTGGTTCTACCAAAATAAAACAAGTTTGGTTTCACTGCTGTGTCTTTCTTATTGGCTTATTACTGTTGTTAGCAGGATACAACTCTTTCAGGAGGTAAAAGCCCTGGGAGGTCTCCAGGACAGTGGCTCTTGTAGCAGCTCCAGCACAGCATGGTATCAAGGCAATCCTCTTGCCAGCCCGAGGGCTTTAGGTGAGCAACACCCATTACTGATGGAGAGAACATGTGTCCTGCAGACTGAGGTGATCAATAGTTTCCTGCATAGTGACAGCAAATAGACATTTGCAGCCTTTGATAGCTCCTGCTGCCTAAAATCCATCAGAGAGCCACAGGGAGCGAGGGGGAGTGCAAGGAAGCGCAAGAGTGCTCCATGGTGCAGTGAACACAGGGCTCAGTACCAAAAGTGTTTCTTTCCAGTTTTTCCCCAGATCCCAGGAAAACCCATGATTGAGGGTGTCACTGGATCCAAGGGCCACTTCTGGCTCTTCTCACAAATGGCAGACAGTGCCCTCGCTCTACGCTGGTAATGTTCGAAAGCCTGCTGCCCTCGGCCCTGAGAGAGAAGACTCCCAGGACTGGCCTCAGCCAGTCCCGAGCTCATTTGACAATGATATCCTTTACCTGATCACTTTGCCATGCTCAAAACCAGAGCTTAGAGCTGTAGCAATTCGCAGCTTTAGACGTCTGCTGCCAGTGTCACCAACAAAGACTCCCATGTTCACCTGGTCACCAGATCATACTGAGAAGCTTATCAAACATGTTTGGTTGCTCCAGTTGAACACCAGTTAGACTATTTACTCCTTTTCATTTTACCAGATTTACTATACGCCCCGCGGAAACACCTTTCTTTGCAGATGATGCCATGTTTTCCCACATCATGGGCTTACTTTTATGTGGACAACCTCAGTCTCACCTAACAAAGGAAGAAAGAATATGGCCTTTCATGTCAGAAAAGAAACCTAAACGAATACGTGGATGCGTGCTGCTGTTAGTGCTTTGAGGTGGGCCAGTGAATTCCTGCTTGGCTAAGCAATACTTCTGGCCCTTCCCTTATCCAAGACCCAGTTAGGACCTGCCCTGCTTCTTTCATCTGCATCTCTGCCCTAACTGTGGGATAGCTGCAGGACTTGGGGAATGTCTGGGCAAAAAGCAGAAGCCCTGGAGGGCTGTTTTTGTTCCCAAAGCTTCTCTTACCTGCAGCTACAGAGGTGATTGTGGTTAAGTGGATAAAGTAACTAAAAATAGAAGACCAATAGAAGAGAGATTCATGATTTACTTCTTGCAAGACAGATGATTATCAGAAGAGCCTGTTTTTTACTCTCCAGATGGACTGCCAGATTGTACCTCTGTCCCACAGATACAACCTGATAGCCCAGTGTTTCCACTGCAGAACATCCCCCCAAGGCAGGTTAAAGTAGCTGCCTTCTGTCACTACGGACTGTGCACTTTCCGTAAATGCCTCAGCTCAGCCAAAATACTTTAGGACTCTTCAGACACAGAGGCACCTGACAGCAAATGGCACCATGCCTCCCACAGTCACTGCATATGCAGTCCCACCTTGTGTGTCTGTACCTAAAGGAGGCTGGCTGGATGTGGCAAGGAGGAATATTTGGAAACACTTGAGAAGGTTTTTGCCTGTGTAAGATGGGTGGTTTCCTATCATTAAAAGAGTGAGCATTTGATCCCCTTCATCCTTCATCGCCTTTAGTTCACTTGAATAGTGAGCACAAAAAACATTTGGTCCTGGCAGTTACATGTGGTGTATTCTTAGCCAGGCCCTGGCACACGCTCTTACCTTGGCTGTGATCGAATCTTTGTTTTCTTGCAAGTTAGAAATTGCTTCAGCGATCCTCATGTGAATGGTCCCTATTACGGTGTCTACGTTGTAAGGTCCATCAATCCGATCAGCCACTACAACCAGGGAATCTAGTAAAACAAGATGGAGACTTCTCTCATCAGACTCTGTACAAACCAAGTTAAAGATCATGCTCATGCTGGGTGGGATAAGCTGTTGGCCCCTCAGCAGGCTTGTTGGGAGACATCTCTCCATTTTCACTGCTGCCCGAGTGCATGCTCGTTTTCCTCTGGCATGGGACAGCTGACCCTTCCCAGCACATAGGTAAAGCCACCCTCAGTGGCAGAGGAACAGAGGTCACCTCCTGCAAACGGTAAATGCAACCTGTATTCACACAAAGTGACCAACATTTCCTGGGGCACTACAGAAAGGAAAAATGGAAAATCGGTGCAGAAATATTAAGTAATGCATAGCAATACTTAGCCCTAACCCTCCTAACTCATTGCATGTCTTCAGCAAAGCACTGCAGCCAGCAGAAAGTGGGAGAATTGAGGTCAATAAAGTGCCAAAGGTACAGGATATGGGCAATAGCTTCTGTGGCAGTGAAGGAGTAAGAAAAGGAGTAGTTCTTCTCACCATCACCTCTGGAAGGACAACATGTGACCAGCCAGGGAAATACCAGGCTACGAAGGTAGAGAAGCAGACCAAAATGCCCACAACTAAAATGGTAAACATGATAGGGAGTGACTGAGGGGTGCCTCTTGATCTCAGCTCCTCTTACCTTGGAAAGCTCTGATGTCCAAGTGCTCCTGCCTGGCCTGGAAGCTCCTGCCTTGACGGCTGCTTTTGGCTTACAAAAAAATTGCCAAGCTCTGCCTGCCTCCAGAGATGATTCTCAACACTCCAGTTGGGTCTAAAGCAAGGACAGACTATACGCTCACAGGGCTTGGGGCACTGGGGAATGGCACTGCAGAGGAAAGCTGACATCCTTGCTGTCCAGCGAGATTTAAACAGGGCCAAAACTGGGTTTGGACATCTAAAACGGGATCTTAACCAGGTCTGACTTTGCCAGTCAAAAATTCTAAACCTGAAAGTCACTGCTATGCTGCTGCTGCTGCCTCAGTTTCCTACCACTTGTGCTCTAGTAGCCTGGAGGCCAGGCCATGCATAAGCTTCATCATTGGCATTCAGTTACGTGTGACCCCAGATGGCTCCAGTGTGGTCTGTGTTCCCCAGGCACACCAGAAACCTCTTGGCAGGACAAGGGATCTGTCAGAGCGCTGGGGTGGCCTGTGCTTATCTGGAACAGAAAGTGCTTCATGTTCCTGTGGCCTTGCCACATGGAAGAAAAGAAATGCAATGGCTTCATGTTGGTTCTCCTCTACACAAAAAGGGTCAAATCCCAGGGTCTAGGATGGCAATCTGTACCATTTGTAAATGGAGTTATTCATTAGGAGTGATTAATTCTTCTGTCCTAAATCCTGATACTTCACCCATCAGCCTGGCTGGAGACTGTCACAGCAGATGGTGTGATGCTGCAGAAAGGCCTATTCAGCATGAGTTTGTACTGCCGATGTTATTAATGAGCAATGAAACCACCAGGTGAATTGTATCTGGCAGTTCAACAGAGTATCAGTAAAACATGTCCTTCAACCTACACCATGCCACAGCATGTATGTGTCACCCATGATACCGCTTTGAAGGCCTGATACTTATCTTTGAGCTGCACAGCAAATTTCCTTCGAGCAGGAGTCCAGTCAGCTGGGGCACAACCACAGACCACTACCATTTCAAACCTGATAGGGAAGTGTTCAGTCCCTCACCTGGGCAAGCCAGCAGGACTTGGCAGAAAGACCCCAAATGATTTCCACCAGATCTAGGTGAGGTCTGTGCAGAAACACTAGGTCCACAGTGGACGTAGTGTGTTAATAACAAAGGTCTGAACCTGAGCCCACTGTTGTCAATTTAACAGCACGCTCGACCCTCGCAAGTATGTTTTCTCTGCTGTTACACGATTGATGTTCAGACCCTGACACAGCTCTCAGAGAATGACCAAGCCAGGCAAAGACTAGATGAGGGACAGCACAAACCCACAGAAGATACCAGATCATGCCCACAGGGCTCACAGTCCAAAAGCAGGTCCAACCTGCGGGGAGCAAGGGCAATAGTCAAACAACTGGGAGGGTTCAAACCTCAGCCAGTCTGGAGCACATATCACAACATACTCTTTGCTCTATAATACAGGATTTAACAACATGCAAAGTCACAGCTTGGAAACATTATGCATTTATTCTCAGCACTTAAAAAGAAAAAAGGTTTTGCTGGTTAGCTTGAGCAAGAATGGAAACAAGGGCCACAATTTCCAAGTTAATATGCTCTCTTTTCCTGCAACACACTCCTATGGCAGTGCTGATTTCTAAAGCTGAACATGCCATACAGGGGGGAAATGTTTTTTTGTATTCTGGGAAACATCTCCTGCAACATTAAAGAGCTTGCAGCTTAACTTTGCTGCAACTCAGGGGTTGCGGTGTCATCTTTGAGACTGTATTTTCCAGACAATTTTAGCTTGCAGAGGCATTAATGTTGAGATACAGACATTTAAATCAAAGGCTGCACCCCCAAATTAGTGATAAATTATGTTTGAACTACTTACTATAAAAATCGCCCTTAATTTGACCTGCCTTAATTTGTCTAATTGAAAAAATAACTGTGTTTAGTGTAACAAAATCCTCTCCAGCTACACAGGACGGCCTGGAGAAGGACGAAGGATGGACAATGCCAGTGAACTGCTACCTTTGACTCTAGTCTTGCTCTAGTCCTTGATCAAATTGTGACCTTTGACACTAAAATGTACAACTGCAATTTGAAAGAAGCTCTAATTTCCTCCTAGCCTTCACCCCTTCACATTGTCTCTTGGGGAAGAGGAAGCCAGAATAACTGCAAAATTCACCCAGAATTGCCTCCCTGTCAGTCAAGGAGAGCTGTACATTGACCTTTCAAGAGACAGGTAGTCATCCTGCCAGGAGAGCAGTGACAGGTAACAGTTGGCTTGCTCGGGTCAGAAAGGCCAAAGCGCCATCAATGTCATTGTGTAAACCCTTGGGGAAGGGAATATTCCTCCCCCTCTTTTGCAGCAGCCTCCCAAGTCGCTCTCATGGGGGGTACTTCCAATCAGCCGCTGTAAGTTGCCACTTGGTTCGTTAGCCCCCAGAGTGAGGGGCAAGTGCACCGGCCTCTGTGTGCAGTGGTTTGATATTTATTTTGCAATGTCCCTTGAGAGGCAGATGATGCTCCTTGAACTTCAGCAGGGTTTTTACTGTTAACACCACCACATATCCACCCTGAGCCAGCCTGTCGGGCTGCAGCTGGCTAGTGAGCTGGCAGTCTTGCTGGCCGGGCAGTGGGTGCCAAGGCAAGGGAAAAGGCCAAGTCCAAAGCTCATCTCCTCTGGTGCCTGCCTTCCATGAGCCTAGACAAACATCAAGGCTCCCTCAGGTCTCAGATCACTCCAGGTCTAAATGTACAACCGGGGAGAGAAAGAGGAGCTTGCTGGGTGATGGTCTGTGGGAACAAGGAGGAGTGAGATCTTTACCATTGCAAACACCCTCCCCTGATGGACTGCAGCTGGGGAGAGGACATGTGCTGTAACACAAACACACAATTTTCTAAACACAGACTCTCACCAGCCTTAAATCATGCCCATCGGCTCCACAAGCCACTCTCAGCAATAGTTCTCATTTAAACCAGGAGCCACAGGTTCTGCAAAACAGCTGAGTGACCCATGAGGTCCTCTTAAAAGAGATGCCCAGATCTGATCAGGCAATGCAGAATTTCCTGCAGAAACGCCTGGTTGAAGTTCTCCAGCCTGTGTTGCACAGGAGATCAGACCACACCATCACAGTGATATTTCTGGCTTTAAACTCAATGAAATGGACTTCTCTATACAGATACAATCCACTTTAAGAGACTCATAATCTTAGCTGAGTGAGAAAACAAAAATGAAATGAGCTCTTTTCTTATTTAAAATACAAGTCTAATTTTCCCATTCCTGGCGATGCCTGTAACTTCCCCCTCCCCATGTATTTGTTTAAGACACCTCTTTCTGTTTAGAAGTATATGATTCTGATTCCTTTGCTCTCCTCCCATGGAAACAGTTTTTGGCTAGTTTCTAGACTACCTCCCAAGGAGGGCTGCAATTGCTCTCACAAGTGCTCTGGTATGGATGAGGACGCAGCTCTGACAGTGTACAGGTGGCAGGATCTGTCCCTAAGCTTCAACACTTGGGAGGGAAGGAAGAATGACTTGAATGCAAAGTGTGGGCAAGATGAACTCTCTAAGCTCTTGTTAGCCAGCCCAGCAGTGTCCTTTCTAATGGTATTAAAGCCCATCAAAATGTCCTGCAATAGCTTCTAGGTGTCAGATCATGGACAGAGAAACTGTGGTGTAAAAGAGCCTCCAACAGTCCTTTCTTTACTCTCCAAACACTACTTCAGAGAGTTCAAAAGGTGCTGAGAGGCAGCTGTGCTGCAGCAGAGTAAGGTCATCTTACCCATCAGGTACTTCCACTCGGTGTTCAGGTCTGCTTGGTTGGCCAGGCAGCCCTTCACAACGTTCAGGCAGTAGTTGTTGCACGGCTTCACACTGGACATGCCTCGGCAGTGCGGGCAGTACATCAGCTTCATGATGGCGCGAGTGCACTCATGGCTGAGAGATACCTGAGGGAGACAGATCAGAGTCAGACACACAGGCTGGTCGGGGGGGCATGTGGGTGAACTACCCTCTTCCCTGGGGTGAAAGAGCTTGGTGTGATCTGAAAGGCAGCATGGCTCCCTGGGTGTGTGGCCCTGGGAAAGCCGCTTCCCCTCTCACTGCCTGTCCTTCCCCCCCACCCTTCTTCAGGCGTCACTCCTGTTGGAGGGACAGGACCTCTGAGGCAGCTGCTAGTTCCTCAGGTTGTGTTTGAACCCAGGGTTCTGGAAAAACCCGTATGTGAGCACCATCCCCCTTCCAGCCTGGTCTGATGGCCACACAGACAGCCTGGGCTGTCCAGCGGCTGTAACTGTGACCCCGACACATGGTGCACATGTGCCCCTGGAGCCTCTGCAATCAGTGCCACAACTGTGCCCTTTCTGCAGGAAGGGTTTGTTGTCACTGTCTGGCAGACGCAGGTGTCCCACCACAAACTGCATCTCCGGCTTCCTGGGGGGATGCACCGTGGGGGCTTGGACATGGAAAGTTCTCAGCTGGCATCTTTGGAAAGGAGAATGGTGTTGGGGGAAGACTTGAACAATTCCAAAAATATGGGCAATTGAGAGCACTCGACACTGGGAAGCGATTGCTCTCTGAAAGCACTTCAGGAGCCGCAGGCAGCCAGTGAAGTGGGCCAACACACCCCGTGCCAGTGGCTTGCAGGCACTGCACGTGCAGCTGATGCTTTGCAGAGGTGACTCTGGAGGTGGCTTTGCCACCTTTAATTAAACCACTCTGGTCCCATAAGCCCAGAGCCAGTGCAGGCACAGAGCCCAGAAAGCACGGCAGCAGCCTCTGCAGCATGTCAAAGTCCCTTAGACCGTCAGCCATGGGACAGTGTCCCCCTCTGACTGCCATGGGCAAAGGGCTGTCAGTGTAAGCTGAGGGATGAATAACAACCTAGCAGACCCTGCAGAGATGCTGGCAGAGCTCAGCGCTCCCCTGTCTTATTGCTAAAGTGTTTTCTCCTTTGCGGTCTTTCTCCATCTTTGGAGATGCATCCATTTGCAATTCCCCTGTCATTCTTTTAAAACTATTTACAAAAATAAACATAACTGACTGCATGCAAGTCTCTCTTGGTACCAGGTACTCGGCACTCACAAGGAGCCCAAAGGGGGAAAAGTGATCGAAGGGGCAAATTTTGACATGGAAAAATCCCTGAGCCTCGAGGTGCAGCTGCAATGCTGAGAACTGCCCCAATCTCTTTAATACTTGTGAAAAATACTTAGAACATGGCCTTTTAAGTTTCTTCTGGGGTACTCCAGTAAGATTCAGTTCTGAGGTACCCTTAGGAGAGCATGAACATGCTGAGCCCACTATCAGAGGTTGAGAGAAAAAAAAATCCCTAAGCTTCCTCCCTCCTGAAACTGCCTGCACGGTAGCACCTCACTTCCAGTCAGCCTTGGAAAACAGATGTTGGATGGTGCTGGGGCTTCATCAGGCAGGAATGCATTAAAATAACCTCATGAGAACCTTCTTCAGGACCAGAACAAAAATCTCTAGGTCTCAGAGAAAGAACCCAAATGGAGACCGCTCCCCTGCCTCGGCAGCCAGAACAAGCCCTGAGATGCGTGCAGATAAACACCGTGCTCCACTGCTGCCGGAGGTTCTGAGCCTTGCAGGAAACACCACGCACGCCAAGGCTTCGCTCTGCTTCCTTGGTGAGCTTTCTGCCTTCGTTCTGGGACAACTCCCGCAGACAGAAACCGGCGCCTGGCTGCCGTGCAGCTCTGCTGCCAGGAGATGGAGGCTTTGTCCCACCACACCGCCTGGGTACTGCTCACTTCATCCCTAGGAGAAGCCAATTAAGGCACAGCTGTCTCCAGCCTCAGTGATCTGAGGGGGGGTGCGACAAAGCAGAGGGACAGGCAAACAAAAGAATAGTTTCTTTTTCATCTCAGGGTTTAAATAACCATGACTGAATAGTGACTGAAAAGACAACAGGTAAGAGCATGTTGAACACTAACACAGGCTGTAGCTGAAGACCTTCCGAAACCAGAGCATTTACACAGAAATCAGGAGATGTAGCTAGGAAGGGAGCTGTGACCTCTCCTTCCCCAGACAGAGCGTTTGCGCACATGAATTATATGGTGACGCTCCAACCAGAGCATGTAATCTGCACACGCAATTGGGTCCTGAACACAACTTTGTCTCCATGTTTTACTGGCACGCCCCATCACCACTGGTCCCGGCTTATCCAGCTGTGGCCATGGAGCACTGTAACCTCACACAGCACAAATTGGGCTGCAACATCCTGGGAGCTGCGGCACAAATGAGTCACATAGCTGGGCCCTGAAGTGTGAGACTTTCCGCAGTACTGATGAGAATCAGGGAGCGGACGGATGGTTTGCCTGAACCCACATACATCTGTGGTTGCCCTGTGCAGCCTTTTGGAGTGGAGGGAGCCGAAGTGCTTTGGCTGGAAAGTGGGATTGCAGCAGCGCCTGTGCAGGAAATGCCCCTGGGGCGGCGTGGGCCAGCCATCCAGTGGCAGAGAGGACAGCTACCAGCAGCTAGAAAACAAAGCTATTTGGTACCCTGCCAGAGCCCGTGGGGGACACGGAGAGAGGCAAGTGACAGATCTTGGCTCAGAAAAGCATCTCCAACATACTTAGCTTTAAGGTACGGTATAAACCCAGCAACTGTACTGGAGCTACCCAGGCGACCACAGCAAGCCCGTATTTAAATGAAGCTTGTGACAGGTCCAGTGGGCATTTCACAAGTATTTCTGCTTGCAGAATTTATCCTGGTCTCTGCATTTATTTTTGTGTGTGTCTTTTTCTGGCAAAACAGAAAGGACCTTCACACCCTGAGCACAGCATTCCCTTGACCACTGGAGAGTAGTCATGCAGGGCCATCCGTGCCCTGCCACCACACAGAGCTGCAGAAGAGGAGCAGCAGCGGGTGCCCATCTACTCCATCTGGCCTCTGGCACGACTGGCAAGCACGGGCAGCTGCCAAGGCTCCCCGTGATGCAGACAGCTGCCTGCCATCCTGCAACCCACCTCCCTCTGACCTCTCCATGGCTGTCAGCCAGCCAAAACCGCCTGTCCCCAGTTACACTGCCTGCATCCACACCGGTGCCCACAAAGCAGCCACCTCCTGCCCGTGCAGCTCTTGTGGTCTGCCACCTGCTTTGCGTCAGTGGGCGCAGGCAGAGCAGCAGGTGAACAACGGTGCCCGAGGCTCAGGCTCAGCTCCTGAGGGTCTGGGGGGGGAAAAAACTGCTTTTGCACCTCAGCAAGGATCATTTCTGGATGTCAGAGAGAAGTTGTGTGTGTACTGCCAGCCTGTCACTCTTGCAAGGTGGCTTTGTGTCCTGGAGGACAGTGGAGTGCCACACTGCCCCAGGTGCAGGGTGCCTGCAGCATGCAGGCGAGGTGGCACCCCTTGCCCCTGCTCCCCTGCCCCAGAGCCTCTCCTCTGAAGATGAGCAGGTGACACATCCACCACCAGCTGTTGCTCGAACCTGGCAGGTGCCAAGTGTTCAACTTAATCTCTTGGCAGAAAGGATAAGTATTAATTTTTGCAGGTGGAAGAGGCCAGGCTCCACTCCCTTTCCCTAAAGAACAACCCAAACATCTCCTGTTGGCAGCAGCACTCCTTTTTCACAGGCAGGCTGCAGAGGCGAACCAACAACAGAGGGATGAGAGAGGAGGACGAGGAACTTCAAAGCATATTTTCTGCATGTTTTGCTTGGTCAGAGCTCAGTTCCTTATTGTTCCAGCCAGCCAGTGGACTTCTGCTCCACACAGAGCAGAGGAGAGCAAGGGCTTGGGGCTCCCAAAGCCCCTCCCGGCCCTGATCCTGCACCATCCTTTTGGGGGACTTCAAACATCTCTTAGTCCTTGTGGATTAGTTTGCTGAAGAAAACTTCCAGGGTTTTTTCAGGTATGCTGTATCCACACAGGGGAATCTCAGCCCCAGTTAGGAGGGGCTGAGATTCCCTCCCCTGTATGCATACAGCAACACAATCAGGAGAGTGCTGCAGCTCTCCTGCCTGCTCACCTCTCGGGCACAGCCAGCTCCAGCAGTGGCACTGGGGAGAAGAGCTCCTCAGGCTGGAGCTGTGAGACCATGTGCCCCCCCCATGGCAGCTTGTTCCAGATAAACACCCCCACAGTAGAGAGTGAAGCAGTTTCTCCAGGCTGGCAAAGTCAAGACTGACCTCCACCTGCACATTGAGATACCCTCACTTCATTGTCCTTCTCTTTCACCCTTTGGCCTTTAAAAGGACCTGAAACATTATGACCTCCCCCCCGCCCAACAGCTAATGGATGCCAGCTAAGACCTGATGGAGAGCCCTTGCGGCTTCCCAGTGCAGATTTGCAGTAACTGATAGATCAATAAGTAATGTCCTCTATTCATCACAGGTGGCCTGAAAGCAGGAACACACGAACTCCTGCAGATGGAGTGAAAGCTAACATAATTTCTTCATCTTTAAATGATCTGGCACAGCATGAAGACAGTACATAACAATAACTGATTTCTCTAAATACCACCAACCTGGCCCAGCCTGTGGCTGGTTCTCCTTTAAGGACATAGGGTTCTCCTTTAACTTTAGTGGCACCTATAGTCTTTTCTTAGCTCAGTGACCTAGCGACTGCATTTAGATGTCAAGAGAACATGCACAATACATCGAAGAAGCCATTTCCCAGGGATCTGAAAAAAAATTATTACTGAGAGATACGGCTTGGAGCCAGGGCACTTCTCATTCAGTTGTCAGAGTTATAAATAAATACACAAAACAAAGCTAAGCCCAGCTTAAAAATACATTGTTCTACATCATTGCTCAGTTAAAATCCACATATTCTATTCTGATCCCAGTGACATCACTGGGTACAGTCCCTTAAAGTGTAAGCCCAGTGATGAAGTGATAAGGAAAAAATATTATCTTCTAAGATATACCCTGAATAGGGGATAAATCAGTATTAAGCAATAACTCATTTTAATTAAAACTACTTTA